ACTATTCTTTCAACACTTCTTTAGTTTGAAATTTTTCAAAGTAAAATGTTTAGTATCCATCTCCACCTCCCCCAAATGAGGCTGAGGCTTCTCCACTCCTAGTTCAGGTATACAGGGATGAACTAGAGATTCATACCTTCACCTTCCTTCCCTAGTGTACCTATTTCAAACAGCCTGTTTCCAGTCCTGGGCACTAGGAAGAAACCCTAAGAAGCAGGTACTGTTGCTGCAGAAAGAAAATCTACCCAGGCTCCCCATGCCCATATTTAATGGGCAGATTGAACTCTTCTGGGAGACCCTCTCTATATTTGCTTCTACTTAAATGAATCCATTTGATTCCATTTCCAAAAATACTTCATTAGGAATTCCGCAGTATTTTTAAGTAAATGAAAACCAAATTGGAACTATACAAGAACAAGCAAACATAAAAGGAAGTCAAAGTCTATGATGTTTTTCTTTGTCTAGGAAAAAATTATAAGATTGAATTTATACTGGATAATGTTGCTCGGGTGGAATCCAGAACTTTCAGCCTGCCAGAACAGTCTGTCTCCAGCAGCAGTAGCAGCGGTGGTAGCAGCAGTAGCAGCAGTAGCAGCAGCAGCAGCAGCAAAGTGTCCACGGTGGGGACATCTGCCCAGACAATGACTGTAGTAATTGGCTGTCTGATGGGAAGAATGTTGCTCTTGGAAATATTTATGGCTGCAGTTTTTATTTTTAACACAGCTATGGGTAAGTACAGTTCATTTTTTACATAATGTATGTCTCTACATACCTGGTACCAGTAAATGTTCACTAAATGAAGGCTGTGTGCACAACACTTGTGCATGACACTATTGCCGACACAGAGAAAGCAACAGCCTCATGGCAGAGACAAGACAGAAAATGTTACATTGTGTTTTGGTATATAAGAATGTGGGGAATGGGACGTGCAGGTAACATCAGAACTCTTTCTCAGTTGCAAGGGGCAGACGCTCAGCTTCAATTAGTTTAGTCAGTAAAGTGACCATTTAACTGAGAAGTCCAAAAGTAGTCTGGTTTCTGCCACAGCTAGACCCAAGGAATCAAATGATGCCATTGACAACCTATGTCTCTCCATCTCGTGGCTCCATTCTCCTTAGTAGGGGATTCACTCCCAGGCTGACTCGTCACCTCCCCAATCCTCATGGCAAAAGTATCCACCAATATCTTCATGTTTACATTCTACCAGCCCAGCAGCCAATGCAGAAAGAGCAAACCTCTTTGCAACAGTTCCAGCAAAAGTCCCAAAGTTATGTCATTGACCTGGCTTGGGTCACATGCCCATTGCTGAACCAATCATTGTGGTCACAGTGTTCCAATTAGTTTGGCCTGATCACATGGGGTAAGGTGCTGAGAGTGGTGGAGGTGTGGTTTCACTAAGGAATGTCAAGATGCTTGTATCAGAAGTGGTAGGCAGACAGCGATAGTGAATATTAGAGAGATTAATAGGAGGAAGAGGTCCCCATTGGCTAGAATGACTAGAGATGATTATAAATGTCACTCCATCAGCAACACATGAAAGTTGAGACTATAGAAGGGGTTTTCAAAAAGTTCATGGAAATATTTGTATTGTATTTTAATTCTATTTTTCCATGAACTTTTTGAAGTACCCCATATAAAATGTATAAGATTGAGAGGGTGAGAAAAGTCACTTGAGAACAGATATAATAGGTGCAAAGAAAAAAGTGGGAGTGGAAAAAGGTGTCTCCAACTCTACATGTTCAGCATAGAATTCCTCATCTTCTTTCGAACATACGGCTCCTGTTACCCCATCTAAGTTAATGCCATTGCCGACTTTTCATCTCCTCAGGCTGATACCTCTTCTACTGCTTCCTGTCCTTCAAGCTCCAGCATCCCTTGAGGTGTTGGGTGCCATCTATAACCAATCATAATGTTTGATATCTGTCCCTCATTTAAAGTCTCATTGCTCTGCTTACAAGTGTTTTACTTATCACTTGACCTATTGCAATAGCCTCCTGAATTCCTTGCATCCGAAATCCCTCACTTCCAGCCTATCTTGCATATTGCTGTCAGATTTAGCTTCCTAAAGCACAAGATCATGTAGTAATAATGGTGATCTCAAATCCTTAGAGTCCTCACCACATGCAAATTTTAATCAACACCAAAGGCCCTAAACCGCATATTGCTGTCAGATTTAGCTTCCTAAAGCACAAGATCATGTAGTAATAATGGTAATCTCAAATCCTTAGAGTCCTCACCACATGCAAATTTTAATCAACACCAAAGGCCCTAAACCGGTTTTGAAGACTGTCTCCTTGTACCAAATTACTCCTAGAAAAGAATCTTCCCTTCCACATATGTTCCTCTATTTAGGCTATGTTCCTCTGCTCACCAAGTCTACCTCGACAACCTTCTAGGTCCTGCTCAAATTCCACCTCCTCTAGCAAGTTTCCCTTCTTTTCCACTTTACATTTAATTCTCCTCTCTCTGTTCTCCAATTGCAGTTTATTTATATCATTGTTATAGCTTTTTCTATAGTGTATTTGTATAAACATATTCAAATCCATCTTCCTCACTAAATTGTGAGCACTTAGAAGACCATATACATGCCTTACATATTATAGTACTAAAAATGTGGTTTAATGGATCTTAAGCATTAAAAGGAGGTTAAGTCTTCACCTCAGACTTAGAGGAAAATGTTGAATACTGGTATTGTAGGCAAATTTTAAAGAGCTTTAATTGGCAGATAGTAATCAGTTTGCAACTGATTTAATGGGAAAATTTCTGACAGATTAATGAAATTAAAGCATCACATAAAAAATATTAATAAGGTTGAGGAAGAATTTGAGGTGGAGTAATAATTTGGAAGGATACTGAAGTATTTCAAATAACAAAAGCCAAGACTAGATTTTAAATTTAAATATAAAAAAGGTCAAGATGAGAAGACACAGTAAGGCTGGTTCTGGGAGTAACAAAACAAACTAGAGGCTAAAACCAACTACTGGGGCTTCAGGAACAGCCATAAAACAGGAAGGAGTAAATCCTTTCTTCCCTCCTAATGGAAGAAACTAATTGGGGTCCACTTGTCAAGGGAGAAGCATAGTTTGCAGAGACCTGGTCCTGGCCTCATATAGCTGAACACAGGTAGGTGGGTTTGGAGCTGAGGGACAATAGGTAAATGAACAACACACAAGTTATTTTTATGCCAGTTTTCTTGTCTCTAGAATTCTAATAAAAGTAAGACCAGTTATTTATTTTAAAATAGCATGACAAGTATTGCTTAAATTTATTTCTTGTCTTCTAAGAAACATTAAAATATAAGTTCTAGTTGGCTAAATGTGTATTACTTAATGAATATTTGTACACTTGTGTTTTCTCATTAAATGCACTGTTTCCTAATTATCTTCAATGACTTTCATCCTGCTTTTTCCTGACAACTTTCATATTGTACCAAATTTTAAAAATTCCATTTTCAAATCATTAGTAAATAACACAGTTCCCAGATCTTTTTCAGGACTTTTTCCAAATGAAATACTTAATCAATGGCTTCTTTGCTACTAAATAAACTTTCATTTTCCAATAAAAACATAAGATGATTTAAACATCATTAATAGATTAAAATGCTAGGTTATTTTTATAAATTTGCATTCTGAATTAACAATATTTTACTTTTAAGAAAACCATGAAGTTCTACTAAATAAAATGGCAAAGCTTGACTGTGAAAAATACAAAAAATGTGTAAGCACCACAATTCCCTATTCACATTCTCATAAAAAAAAAAAAA